GCAGCAGAGAGCTGAGGACCAGAACCAAGCAGGAGGTCTGAGAAGCCCAGATGGAGCTGTGGGTCCAGACTTCAGGAACCATGGAGCATTTCAGACTTTAGTTCTTTAAAACAACCTCCAGGTGGCAGCAGAGAGCTGAGGACCAGAACCAAGCAGGAGGTCTGAGAAGCCCAGATGGAGCTGTGGGTCCAGACTTCAGGAACCATGGAGCATTTCAGACTTTAGTTCTTTAAAACAACCTCCAGGTGGCAGCAGAGAGCTGCTACAACAACAACAACAACATGTGTCCAAAGGTTATTGTTGTTGCTGCTGCATCTTGATAAAAGAGCTCCCAGGAGGCCCAGATGGGTCCATCAGGTGGTTCTGGTTTCAAAGTAACAAGTTGAACTACAGGAAGTAACAAAACAAACAACTGCTGCAGGACTTTCAGAAAGACTTCCTGATTTATCCTCCAGGAGGTCAGAAAAACCTCCTGATGGTTCATCTGGACTCTTCAGGGTTTTACCTGCTGACTGGTCCATAGAGCAGAGAGGGGGCGGGGCTTACAGGGCAGGAGTTCAAACAGGGAGGAGCTTTATCTCTGAGGGACAGACTCTGAGACTCTGGTCTGCTGCCGAAACGTCTCTGTCCTACCAGAACTTCAGTCTTCCTCTGTTTGTCCTGGATCAGGTCCTGTCTGTCCTGGATCAGGTCCTGTCTGCCCTGGATCAGGTCCTGTCTCTCCTGGATCAAGTCCTGTGTGTCCTGGATCAGGTCCTGTCTGTCCTGGATCAGGTCCTGTCTGTCCTGGATCAGGTCCCATCTGTCCTGGGTCAGGTCCTGTTTGTCCTGGATCAGGTCCCATCTGTCCTGGATCAGGTCCCGTCTCTCCTGGATCAGGTCCCATCTGTCCTGGGTCAGGTCCTGTTTGTCCTGGATCAGGTCCCATCTGTCCTGGATCAGGTCCCGTCTCTCCTGGATCAGGTCCCATCTCTCCTGGATCAGGTCCTGTCTCTCCTGGATCAGGTCCTGTGTGTCTGGATCAGGTCCTGTCTGTCCTGGATCAGGTCCCATCCGTCCTGGATCAGGTCCCGTCTCTCCTGGATCAGGTCCCGTCTCTCCTGGATCAGGTCCTGTCTCTCCTGGATCAGGTCCTGTGTGTCTGGATCAGGTCCTGTCTGTCCTGGATCAGGTCCCGTCTCTCCTGGATCAGGTCCTGTGTGTCTGGATCAGGTCCTGTCTGTCTTGGATCAGGTCCTTTCTGTCCTGGATCAGGTCCTGTCTGTCTGGATCCGGTCCTGTCTGTCCTGGATCAGGTCCCATCTGTCCTGGATCCGGTCTCTCTCCTGGAGGTTTTGTCTCGGAGATGTTTGCTACTACCAGGGTGGACCAGAATCAGAGGACCAGCAGAGTCCAGATTCACTGAACCAGGACAACACCTGAGCTCAGCAGGGACCAATCAGAGCGGGGCGTCTGCTGGTGGGGGGCTGTGATTGGCTGCTGAAGCTTAATTAGTTTGATTAGATAATTGACTGTTTGAACAGTTTGAAATAATCTGTGAAATTCTGTTCAAGTTAAATGTTATAAATTCTTTCATATCTTAGATTAGATCAAACATTTAGTTGTTTTGGTTTAGTTCTCTTCAGGTAATCAAACTCACATTAAATATATTTAACTCAGTTAAAGTAAATGTGATTAGCTCCCATCAACGTCTGCATTAAAACAGCCAATCAGAGCCAGGGGGAGGAGCCTGTGTCAGCTCTTAAAGAGACAGAAGCTGGACTGGAACCAGTTCAACCCACAGGTGAACTGACTGGAGTCCACTGGGTTCAGTTTTCTGTGAGGATCCTGGTTTCTGTTGACCCGGTTCTGAAGGTTCTCAGACGGAACTGATCCACAGCCATGAAGCGTCTCAGCAGCCTGGTGCTGAAGAAGGCCAAGGACAAGGAGAGATGGATGGAGAGGAGGAGGAGCGAAGCTTCAGAAGGAGGAGAGGAGGAAGAGGAGGAGGAAGACATGAGGACAGACCTGAGACACACACGGATGATGAGGAGGACATCTGAGCCGTGTGGACCAACGGAGACAGACAGGATGGACACAGGCAGGGGGAAGGACCGCAGGATGTCCAGTTTTATGATGGAGGACAGAGTGGGAGGACATGTGGACAGGATGCAGAGGGACGTGGACAAGAAGTGGACGAGAAGACGATCTGAGCCTTGCGGTCCTCTTAACGTTCATCTGCTTCCCCTGTCCTTCAGGAAAAGGTGGACTGGTCGCAGGACGTCCTGCTGTGAGGGACAGGCAGACAGGAGACAAGGAGGTGGTCAGATGACTGGAAGGACTAATCGGTCCTCTGACCCAATCAGTCCTCTGGACACCAGTAAGACAAACCTCTGGTAACATAGCAACCACCTGTAGGGGTCAGGTCCAAGACTTCTCAGTGGTGATGGACAGATGGACAGATGAGGTCAGGTCTTAGGGTAGGGCCTGGAGGGCTGGAGGTCCACTGTGGAGAAGGAACTTGAGACACAGTGAGACTTGAGAGGGAGACAGGTTCTGAGGTTCTTTACCTTCCTGGGGTTGAGCATCCAAAACAGAGAGCAGAACCTCAGGGAGGAGCAGGGCCGAGTGGACGGAGACATGGGTCAGGAGACAGAAGGTTCTCAGGATGAGACCTGCTGGAGTGGACTGTTTGGAGACAGGATGATGATGAGATGTTCAGATCTCTTCTGGGAGGCAGAGGGTCTTTGAGAGAGACTCCTGCAGGGAGCAGCTAGGCAAGCAGATGATGCCATGTTCTGTTGACCAGATGTTCTGCTGACCAGATGTTCTGCTGACCAGATGTTCTGTTGACCAGATGTTCTGCTGGGCAGATGTTTTGTGACCAGATGTTTTGTGACCAGATGTTCTGTTGGCCAGATGTTCTGCTGACCAGATGTTCTGCTGACCAGATGTTCTGCTGGGCAGATGTTCTGCTGACCAGATGTTCTGCTGGGCAGATGTTTTGTGACCAGATGTTCTGCTGGCCAGATGTTTTGTTGACCAGATGTTTTGTGACCAGATGTTCTGCTGACCAGATGTTTTGTTGACAGGTGTTTTGTTGACCAGATGTTCTGCTGACCAGATGTTTTGTTGACCAGATGTTCTGCTGACCAGATGTTTTGTTGACCAGATGTTTTGTTGACCAGATGTTCTGCTGACCAGATGTTTTGTTGAC